GGCGGGGATGGGCAGGGGCGTGGTCGGGGCGCCCCAAGTCTGTGGGCTTCTGGGCGCCGCCTGCCGTCTTGGTTCCTCACTGCCCTCGGAGGGCGCATTTCTTCGTAGCAGTTGGGAAAGATTTGGAACTCCATGTTCATACACAAAACAGTTAAGACATTAAAAAATACAGGGATCTCTGCAGTTTGGACACCATGTTGTTCATGTGTTTTACCAAAATCCCCAAAGTTTTATAACTTTGTATTCAAGAGTATTTTAATTTTTTTACTCTAAGAGAAATGCTGGTGAACCCATTTTGAAATTGCCACTGTAAAAGAAACGTAATAGCCACAAAAAAGATTTTAGAGAAATGTTTTGATATTCTATATTTGTAATCAGGGAGTCGACGATGCAGGTAACTATATCGCTGTTGTTTTTGCCCTGGCCTGTGTGCCTCAGTAGTTAGAGCGTCAATTCCTGTCAAGGGCACACACCTGGTTGCAGGTTCGATTCCCCACCCGGTGGGGGTGCGTGCGGAGGCATCAATGTTTCTCTCTCCCCCTCCCTCCCTCCCTCTCCCATTTTCTCTCAATGGAAGAAAGAGATATTAGCCCCCTTCGTATACATTTCTTGTTCTGCTTCGCTTTTGGTTGTCGCAGGACGTGAAAATCAGTGGGTTTCCCCAGCGTGAGGTTTCTGTCCCTTTATGTCATTATGGTCCATATTTATATTTTTACCCATTTCCTTTGGATGAAATAAGCATTTTAATTAATTAAGAAGCAAATCTGAAAGGAAACCAGATGCTTAGGAGCTGCTGGTTGTGTTTCTGTCAGCATCACAGACGGTGCTGTGGAGCCCTTGAAGGCGGAGCTGGCAGAGCTGGAGCAGCTGATCAGAGACCAGCAGGACAAGATCTGCGCGGTGAAGGCCAGCGTCCTGAGAAACGAGGAGAAGCTCCAGAGGATGGTGTACGGTATCAGCCTGAGCGCCAGGAGGTGAGGCTCCAGCCCGGAGACCAGAAGTCATCCTCAGCTTGAAAATAAAGAAGGTAGAACATCACTGCTCGTTAACTCTCAGTTTGCAAAGCAAATGAACAGTGTACGATGTTGCCCGACTAATTTTCAGAGCTTTTAAAGCTGTAGGCACCTCCAGTGTGTAAAAAGACCGCGTCTCCCACCTTCCTGGGGCTACCTGTGCGCCGGTTATAAGCGGCTCTCCCAAACCCTGTGGGGAAGTCTCTTTGCAGCCTGGTGTGTCCACAGCAGCCTGTGGAGCTCAGCTCCGTGCTTGAGGTCTCTAGCTGGAGTGCTGCCGACACCCAGGTGACAGGTCGTGGGCTCGGTTTGTGGGGCTGGTGACTCCACAGCCAGCACGGGGTGAAGGATGGCTGGGCCTTCTGAGGCACTTTATACATGGAGTGGGGCCTGGATGGGATGGATCGTATTTTTAGTTCACTTGCACTTGAAAAGGGTTCATTCAGCCTGTGTCTTTATAAAGATACATGTGAGCTTTTTTAACTGCTTTATAATTATATATATAGACTACTTTATGTAATTTTCTTTTTGGTCCCTGTTATCTTTTGCTTGTGTTTCTAACCTGTAAAGTTCCTAAATTTAAGAAGGAGATTTCAGTGTGGCCTTATGACACTGCCTAGACATGAGCTTGTCCCCGGCCATCCCCTCTTCTACAGCCTTGGCCCTGCTCTTCCCCCTGGGTGCCTGCGCAGCTCTGCAGGGGCCTCACTCTCCCAGGCCCACGCCCCTGGCCCCATGCCCCATGCCTCATGCCTTCCCTTCACATGGATGTGCACCTGTGCCCCCCAGAGACAGGCAGTTTAGCGGAACCTGAGAGAAGAAGACATAACAATTTACAAAATTATTTTTATGTTACCTTGGGGGGGGGTATTTTTTAAAGCAAAGATTTTTTAAAAACATGGTTTATATTTCATTTTTCAGTTACACATAATACCATCCACGTCTTCAAGTTTGTATGTAAAGGGTTTTGCAGTTCGGAGCTGTGCTTACCGGTCCTGATACTTCTAGATGCCGTATTTATTATGAACTCCAAGGAGTGCCGTTTAGTGTTGGAATCGCCTGAGGAAGTTTGTTCCTCTGAGGGTGAGCACAAACGGCACAGTCTGGTTTCTCTTAGTGTAATTTTCAAAATAAATCTTTTACTAAGGCAGTTTTATGATTTTCTAAGCTGAATCAGTTCAAGATCAGATTACTAACAACGACCATTTTGAAACATTGGTCTCTTTCTCCTTCTAAAGTGCACTGTAAGATCCTGTTTGGTCCGATTGTACTAAGTACTTTACTGGAGGAGGGAGGCATCTTAGTGAACTGGGTCCTTCACATACGTATGATCTGCTTTCCACTGAGTCAAATGACAGCCACACTCCGAACAGCTGTTTTGCTTCAAGTTAAGATGTCTGATTTTTATGAATTTGTATATATGACTAGAATTTTTGTGTTGCAAAAAATTACATACATTGTATATGGATAAAATTTTGTATGAAGTAGTCTATCAAATTGTATCATAAAATTTATTTTTCTTTTATATACAAATCATTAAAAATAATTACATTTTTCTATAAGTATATGGGTTGTGCAAATCAGTTCACACCTGGATGAAATTTATAAGCATTTGGTTTTTTTATTTTTGAATGTGCATTTTGTTTTTCTTCGAAGAAAGTTCAGGGAAATTTATCTTTTTGTTCATATTGTGACACTGGCTCCTTTTCTGTATAAATTGAGGTTTTATAGACAGGCATTTATCAAATTTTAAGGTCATTTGTAAAGTTTTAGAAAGTCTCTGAGCGTGATTATTACTGCATCTTATAGACGAATGAAATCCTGGTGTTATTTATTATTTTGATAAAATACACAAATGAGGTTATTAAATATTTTCTCTACTTTGGTTTATAAGTTTTCAGGAAGCACTAGTGTCAAACTTCAGAAATTTTAGTTTAAAAGTTGAGTCGACACTAATTTATATTCAAAGGAAATGAGTAAACGTTAGGAAAATTCAAGCTTTCTGTTTTGGTATTTACACTTTTTCTTTTTAATAAGAAACCTAAAAAATAATGATTGACATCTAAGAAGAGATGACGTCACCAGTGACACATTGCAGGTTAGGATTCAGGGACTGGAGCTCCTCAGTGCCCTGGCAGGTGCCCTGAGATGTTGCTGCGCTTCTCCTCTGAGCCGCCCCGACCTGGCTGCAGGTTTCTCTGTGAAGGAAAAGCCGGCCCAGCGCTTCCCCGGCTCTGGAGTAATAGTCGATGTCAGTGGTCCCGGCTCAGGATGGCCAGTTTGCTGGAGCCTCCGCAGAATGGTCTGCAAAATGAGGCCTGGGCACAAGGTCAGGAGCCCAGGCGCTCACCAGAAGGGGAGAGGTTCCGCGCAGCAGGACTGGCTCCAGGCTCTGGGACCTTCCGCCACACCCAGAGGCGCAGAGAGCAGACCTCCCTGGTCATCTGGCCCCCGCGGAGCCCACCCCCAGGAGCTCAGAGGTGGGCTGTGTTTGCCTCTGTCCTATGACACACTCTATTAATAAAAAGGCTTTTGTGTTTTCCTAATGGGTCTTGGGGAAGTAGAGCATTTATAAGCCTGCAGCTGGGCGGAAGTGTTTTAATAAAGGGAGGTTGGGAAGGACTCTTTTAATTCAGTAAGAGAAAAGAAATTTAAAAGGCTTTTTAAACTATAAAACAAGTATTTAAGTCATTTAGAGCTGAGTCCCAAATTTTAATTCTCAGCTCCTTAAACCAAGTGAGTCTGTCTTTCTGGTGAGAAAGTGGGGTTCAGAAGGTCCTGGATCTCAGGGAGGCCAGGTCTGTCCTTGAGTGAGAGCAAAGTGTGCTCCCCCTCCCGGGTCCCTGCCACCATGTCCTGAGCCGCCAGCACTGCGAACCCCTCGGCTGTGAGGCCACTGTCACTGCTGCCAGCCAGCGAGTCGGGTCAGCTAGGGGACAGTTGGCCTGCATAGTAGTTCCCAGCTGTGATTACCAGTTAAGTGCTCAGACCTGTGTTCACCGCACACTCAGATGTCCTGCTCTGTTCTGCGAGAGCCTCCCAGCACCGCCACCCGTAGGTGATGCCGCAAACCTGAGACACGGGTTTGCCGTTTAAATTCTCTGTCCACTCAGGCGTTTTGCTGGATAGCAGCTGGCAGGTGTGGGCTCATTTCTCCGTAGACACTGGTGTGAACACTGTGCTGCAGTGTCCATTGTCCCCTCTGCTGGGACAGGCAGGCACATGTTCGACTGGCCTGCTGGCCACTGCATGGGGATCGAGCTTCCAGGTTGGGGCTCGGCCTCCTGGGTGGTGGCCCCGACACGAGAGCCGCCTGCCGGGGATTTGTGGTTTCGGAGGCAGGCCCGGTTCCCACAGAGCTGGCGGGCGGGTGGGTGGCAGTCCTGGGAAGCATTTGCTTTGTTTTCCAAAAAGAGTAGAAACCCTCTGACTGGGTCGGTGTGAAGCCAGTACCACCCTGCAGGGAAGCTGCCCACCCTGCTCAGAGGATGGACAGATGGGCCAGGCAGATGCCAGCCTCCCCGGGCCTCAGGCCGTGACCTGGTCTGAAGCCACAGTGACCAGAGAAGTGGGGTGCAGGCAAGGATGGGTGTGCCCTAGAACAGGAGGCGCAGGTGAGAAAGTGAAGGACACCTCGACACGAGACTAGACTCCAGTGGTGACAGCGTGGTCCCTGTGGCCAATTCTGTTGGGGGACCCTCAGCTGCCCCTGCTGGGGAGATGGAGAAGGGTTGCCCAGGAGGGTGGGTGAGGGCAGGGCTGGAGACCCCACAGAGCTGAGGCAGGGCTGGGCTCCAGACCACACCATGGGGGGTGCAGGGCACATGGGAGGGTGCACATCTCAGGGACACAAGCAGACCTTTCTCCCCCAGATTAATCTGAAAATTGAATAGAATAAAAAAAATCTGAACCCAGCTGGTGTAGCTCAGCAGTTGAGCATCGACCTATGAACCAGGAGATCATGGTTCTGAAATCAATAAAAACATTGTAAAAAATCTGAGATTATTGAGGAAATTTAAGCTATTATCCTATAAAGCTATAGTAATGAAAACAAAGTGGTTCTGGTATTGAACAATGTAAATTAATCAATGAAATAGCACAGGAACCCAGCCAGATACCAGAAAGGTCGCCTCTGCCGAGTGCAGCCTTTCAAAGCAGAAGTGTTTCAGACTGTTCTCCAGACAAGCGCAGGAACATTTTATCTCTGTGGCAAACACATCACATACAGAAACAACTTCCCAACGTTGAAGAGTTTAAAACACGAGAATATGAGAAAGTAGTCAGAGAACATTTTATGTTTATGACATTTATAAATGCTTATTCATGACAAGTTGTTTACACTTCTGTTACAATAGTTCTGTGAGGCAGTGTAATGTGTGGGAACAAAGCGCCTAGAAGAGGACATGATGGGTGCTCAATACATGTTAGGGTGCAGAGCCTGGAAACTGAAAAAGATGGGGTTTTCCGAAGCCGTAGGTGAAAGAGAATGAACATTTGGCTTTATAAAAATCAGAAAATGTTTGCCTGGCCGGGTAGCTCCGTCCGTCAGAGCATCGTCCAGATACACCAAGGCTGTGGGTTTGGTCCCTGGTCAGGACACATACAAGAATCAACCAACGATGCATAAATCTGTCTAAAATCAATCAATAAAAATTTAAAACAGCCAAGGAAAAATTAACAAGCAAGTGGCACACTGAAGTATTGGCAACATCTGTAACGAAGTTACTATTCCTGAGACAAAGACTTAATGAGAAAGCGCAGCCCCGCGGACACAGAAGACCAGCGTCCCACCTCCAGCGAGGACAGCGGGCAGGGCGCGGGGCCCCTGAGGAGGGCGCCCCCGGGAGAGCCCGGCCTCGGCCTGTGGAGGGCTCTGTTCGCTCGTGACCGCAGGTGGCCTCCACGTGCTGCTTTCTGAGTGATCGACTTGATCCATCCCGGTACCTACTGTGGAGCTCGCTGTCCGAGGACGGGCGCCTCGCTGGTGATGAAGTGCGAGGACCGAGGACCGGCGCCCAGCGCGCCCGTGGAGTACTGGCTGCTGTTCGTGGTCTGTGAAGTGAGGTTAACATCGCGCCGGCCCGAGGTTTCCAGGGCAGACGTTGGAGAGATTAATACCGTGTGGGATGGCTGAGGGTGTGGTGTGAATTGTTCAGTGTTTTTAGAGGGCGTTTTGGAAGGATTTCTCAAAATTAAAAACAGGACTGTGTTGCTGACAGAAGAGAAAGCTGGAGCCGGGACGTGACCACTGTGTCCACATTAAGGGCTGGTGGGTGGAGGTTAGGGTCCAACCTGTCTCTGTGGCCTGGGACCCACCCATGGGTGAGAAGTGCAGGGAGATGAGGCTGGCTGTGGGCAAGGAAGACGTCTCCTTTCAGACAGAATGGTGGTGTGGGTGGCCTGATAGAGAGTGAGCTCCCTGTCACAGGAGGTGTGCAAGCACGGGCTAGTTGGCCACTTCTCGGGGATGCTGTCGAGGGTTCCACTGGATGCTCCCTTTGCTGCTTCCAGGCCTTGCCTACCCCCAACGAGGGATGGAGCACCCCACCATCCCAGATCTCCACCCACCCGCTGCTTGTCCTGCCAACTCCACCAACATGCCTCCTCCTCATGCTGGAGGGCACAGTGGGCACAGTATCAGGGCCCATGGCACTTTAGGGGCCCGTGAAAGTGTAAATTCTTATAATCAGAAGGAAAAAATGAAGGTTCAGGACAAAGCAAATGTCTTAATGTGTAATGTTAATGTATTTGCCTTCATTTCAATGCCGTTGTAAAATAAGAATCTTAATATTTTCTGTGGAGGAAGGGCCCACGGAGACACAAGTGCCCAGGCCATTGTGAGGCCCGGGTTGGTCACTGGGACTCCCACCCGTCTGTCCCTGTGGCTGGACCCACTGGGAAGGTGACCCGGTCCTGCTCTCAGCCGGGACCCCGGGAGCAGAGCCGCACCCGCATTCGTCCGGCGGTTTCCCATTTCCAGGGATTAGGGCCCTGAAGGAAAGCGTCTTTGGGGCAGTTTCAAGACAAACACCGGGAGGCATTTAAAAATAGAACTTTCAATAAAAACTCCTGAACTGGGAATTTGAGGCATTAAGCTCGTTTGTTAGTTGCAAAGTCAAACCTGGAATCAGCACGTGGACTTGGCACTCACGGCCTGGGGGCCCCAGCCGAGAGCAGGCCCGGCTCCTCCCAAAGCTGCCCCTGCCGCCTGTAAAACCGCACACCCAGGTTGCTGTTTCCCCTCCTGCTACACCTGCCAAAACAACCGTTGTGGGAGTAAAATAAAATTCTTGGACCCCTCACCAGCGAACAAGGTCACAATTTATAAAGAGCCGAGTGCTCCCTGGGGGAGCTGATGAGCCTGGCAGAGCCCGGCCTGTGGGGGGCCTCGCGGTCCCTCTGGGCCACCTGCTGCCACCCCCAGGCCCTGCCCAGACCCAGGCTCTGCGGCCTGCGCCCCACTCCCGGTCTCCAGCCGCAGGGCTCGGACCAGCGACTGCTCAACTTCCAGGAAGTTTTTAAGCCATTATGTGAAATCAAGAGTAGTAGATCCTGAAAACTCACC